GTTAGAAACTGTCTATAAATTCTCACATGGCAAAGGTGCATGAGAGCTAGGTGGTGACAGCCTTCTTTGTACGGAACACGCGCTCTGCAGCTGACCACTCTCCGCTGCTCCCTATCGCTCTGGACCCCGGCTGCTGTGCTCAGTCACATGAAGGATGGAATGAACCTCAAGTGGCCCAGCAGGGGTTTATGTTGTCTGCTTCTACTCAAGGCTTTTAACCTCAAGTTGCAAGTTTTCTTTTTTAAAAAAAATTTATTTATCTTGGCTGTATCGGGTCTTAGTTGCAGCATACAGGATCTCTGCTGTGTCACACAGACGTTTCATTGCAGTGCAGAGTCTCTAGTTGTGGTGCATAGGATTAGCTGCTCTGCGGAATGTGGGATCTTAGTCCCCCGGGATCCAACCCACCTCCTCTGCACTGCAAAGTAGATTCTTAATTACTGGACCACCTAGGAGATATCTCAGGTTGCATGTTGGCATATAGGAGGAAAATGATGTAAAGTGACATTAACTGACTCATTGTTAACCATTTCCAAAGAGTACTACAAGAAACCAAACTCTAAGTGAGAGACTCTACATGTGAAATGTGAGCCACAGTGCCTGGCACATGATAAATGGTCAGTAAATGATACCTGGCATTGTAATTATTATTATTATTATTTCATTGCACTCTATTGAATACTCTAAAGATAACCTTAGAGAATAGACAGGTGATTATACAAGAAGTTTTTGAAAAATAAGAATGCAAAAGATTTGCCTCACAGGACACTTGATATATAATGAAGCTATAATAAATATTCCTGTACTATATGCAAGTAACTTATATAATACTGCACATCAACTATATTTCAATAAAAAATTAAAAACAAACAAAAAAAACCTCAAACCAAACCAAGCAAAAACTCAGTACTGGTAGAAGAATAAACAAATCAATGGTATAGAAAAAAAGTCCAAAGACAGACTCAAGTACAAAATATAAGAATTTAATACATGATTAAATTGACATTTCACCACAGAAGAAAGGATAGATTAGTCACTAATTGGCCCTGGGACAACTCACTGAATCCCAGATAAAATTTTTTCAAAAAAGGGAAACCTCTAGAAGACTACAAGAAAAAAGGTAGAATAATTATTTGATATTAAAGTAGGGAAAACTTTTCTAAGTAGACAAGCCAAGAGAGAAACCATGAAGGAAAGAAACCTTGAAGGAAAAGCTAAACAGACTTGACAAGAGAAATAAAAATTGCTGTACATTATAAAAATATAAAAGAAATTAACGTGGGTTTTATTATGGAATAAGAGTCTCCACTCACTGAAGACTCGCTGTGTCTAAGCCCATGGTCAGAGCACTGTAGACTCTTCACAGTCGTGGTGACAGGCATTGTAAACACTATTGGTAGCCCTACTTTACATATGAGGTTCAGAGCTTATCAGACATTAATTGAAGTAAAATACTGCAAACTTTTTCTCAAAACTATTATTAAGTATATTAATGGAGGTGTTAAGTAGTTAGTCAGACACAAGTGGGTCCCTGCTCCATCCTGGATGGGGCCACCTTTCCGTCCTGACCTGGACACTGGAGATCAGAACATGCCCAGAGATCCTCCCTTTATTGTGGTCAAGACAGTTAAATTTCCAGACTTAGCAGGCCCAAATAAGATAAAACCTTCCATCACATGTTGGCGCAGGCACACCAAGCCCTAAAACCCTAAAAGGTGACACAGTATAAACTGGGGTTCGTTATTCTGTATTTGTAATAAACTAGTATTGCAGTATTTGTTCCGATCCCCACCCCCCACCCTGACCCCGCATGGGTTTTGCTTGGGTGCTTGTGGGTAAGTGCCTGAACACAAGAAAAGTTATATAACTTAAAACTGACAATCCATGTGTCAAATGATGCAGGACACAAGGAAGGACTTGCCACTACTTTGAAAAACCAACCCTATTTCAGCTGGAAGGCTGTTTCTAGTTTCCACACAGCCCACTCTCCTTTTCTCTCCTGGGAGTGTACTTTCACTTTGTTTAAGAAAACTGCTGCTGCTTAAAAGTGTTCTTTGTCTTTTGATTGAATTCTTTCCTTTGGGAGGGCAAGCAGTGAGTTGCCAGTTTGCTGGTAACAAAAGTGTTATGATAGACAGTGAGATCATGGGTGATATTTTTTTCTTGTTTTGGTTTTCCAAACTCTTCAGTATTTTATATTACATTTACTGTCAGAGAAAAGACACATTATAGAACTACCTTTTGAATTCTTTGTCACAGCTCTGTTATCTTAAGAGTAAGATACGGGGAGTTCTTTACAAATAAATAAAATGGGATAGGCAGAGAGTGATAACAACACTTACTAGGTGTCTACCAAAAGCTAGACACTGTAAGAGTTGATTTATCTGCATTATATTTGATCCTAACCTAAAGCCTATGAGGACAAGTATATTTTTTCCACTTACTGAAGAAGGAAACTAAGACTCAGAGGTTTCGCTGAGCTTGCTAGGGAAGGAAACTCATCTTCAACATCTGGGCTCTTTCTACGGTGGCTTCACACCTCTAGCAGAGCACTAAGCTTATACCTGCCGGCTGCGTGTGATAAAGTGCCTCTTCTTACACTAGCAGATCATACACTTATACCCTGCTTTCTCAAATTTTAGAAAAGTCTCCGGAGCTCATTGATTCAGTACCACCATGATCCCCGTCATGTTAAGTACTTCAAACAGATGGGTACCCATCCTGCTCTGAAACATTTCACAGGAACAAGGGTTAAAAAATTCCACTGGCAATTGGTACTTATGCTTAAAATTAATCTGTCATGGCAAGAAGTATTCTAATATTTTTAATATGTTGACCTCATCTCAACATTTCTATGAAAACAAGAGACATGACGCTCCAATGGTAACCAGTCTCCACACTGGAATACTTCATATTCCAAGTATGAGTTTAGAATCACTCTCCCTAAACTTTCCCTCCCATAATTGATTTGCTACTATGTCAATGCTTTCCTTGAATCTTCAAGCATCATGCCTACCTCTTGAAGATGCAAAATGAACAAAACTTGTACAAGAAACACCAACTTGTAGTTTGGATATACATCACAAGACTATTAGGACTAAATTCCTGACTACTGTTTAGCTTGGAATGAGCTAAAAACTTTATATATGTTTTCACCTGGTATCCATCTTGATATCATGTGATTTGTTTCCTTCCTTTAGCACTTCTCCTTTTTGAGATCCTTACAGTTTTATATCATCCTATTAATCTTTTTTAGTCCAAATATTTGGTGATTAATCATTCATTCAAAAAACATTTAAAGACCACCTATTGTATACTAGGCACCATGGAAGTTTCTGCAGAGACAAAAATAAGATCCTGTCTCTAAGGAGCTAAAAGTCTAAAAGAGGAGATGGAGTAAACAGATAACTCCTATACAGGATTCCTAGCGTTTTCACAGAGGTATGAACTGATATTGTGCAATGTCAAAGGAGGAGCTGGGGTAACGAGGGAAAGTTTCTTGGAGGTGGTGCTCAGGAAGAATCATTAAAGACTAATAGGAGCTAGTCAGACATTGGAAGGAAGTTATTTTCTGCACATTTTGGAAACTGTGAGAGCAAAAGGTGCCTATGGGAACCGAAAACAGACAGCTGAGGTTAGCACATCTCTCTGAACATAAGCTATTTCGTGACGGATACAAAATGTAATGATGATTATCGTTACCGCATCCATCAACTTTTTTGATGACGATGACTTGCTCCAAAACCAAATTTTAAAAAACATACTTTTGCAGAATGTTGTGGCTGTTGCTAATTATTTTAATAATGACCTTCCAAATACTTTACATCCGAAGAAGAGTATTACAAACCACAGGAATGTATTTTGCTAATGAAATGTGAAATTTACTTCTTCACATTAATCATAGAACTCCAATAAAGCAGACTCCAGGCATGTTCAACACCATCCCCACAGGACTCCTGACTACATGTGAGTGAACGGACAATGCAATGCTACTCTTCAATCACTTAAAGGTTAATGGTGAGAAAGTCCATTTTTATCTTTGGTCTATTAGATAAGGGCATCAGTACATTAGAATTGATTTTTAGGGGCTGGAGAAAAGTGGTTAAGAAAAACAACTCAAGATGAAAAGAGTGCTTCACAGTGAGAGTTCTACATGCTCAGATACAGAAAGACAGCGGACCAAGCCACTCCCCTGTGAACTGTTTCGTTGGAGGTATCAATCCCTCCATTTGACCCTAGAAACAGCACTTTCTTTGCTAGTATTTTCCAGGCCAGTACTACAGTCTTCAGCAGCTGGATAAAGCAAAAACAAAAAAACGCCCATGGCATACTAGCATGTTAATTTTGAGCAATAGTAGACAGTTGCAAAAAGGGAGTAAGTGTCACAACAACTTTTCACTAAAGCTTTCAAACAACATTAAATGAATTAAAGAACAATGGCTAGGGTAGACAGATTCTCAGGGAAAAATCAAATATAAAAGGGTGTGAATTAAGGGATAAAAGATAAATTATTTTCCTGAAAGATGCACTCTAAGGAAATTTATCCATGTATTACAATTAATTTTGCTGAGTTGGGTCCAACTCTTTGTGACCCCATGGACTGTATACAGTCCACGGAATTCTCCAGGCCAGAATACTGGAGTGGGTAGCCATTCCTTTCTCCAGGGGATCTTCCTAAACCAGGGTTCGAACCCAGGTCTCCCACAATGCAGGCGGATTCTTTACTAGGGAAGCCCAAGAATACTGGAGTGGGTAGCCTTTCCCTTCTCTAGGGGATCTTCCCGACCCAGGAATTGAACTGGGGTCTCCTGCAATAATAAGCTTTGAGAAGAATACATATTATGTTTAAAAGAAAGAATATGATTAAAATAGTTATACTTGATCAAAGCAACATGAGAAAAAAATTTTTTTCAATTAAACTCAAAAACTTTATCTTGAAAAAAGAAACAGTGAACCTATCTTTGAAAGTGAATGTTAGATGTATTTTTAAAATCTTTTACCTGATTTAAATAATTTAGGCACTTTTCAAGACACCAAAGGCAACAAATGCAAGATTTCAGCACACATCGAGCACAAGCATTTTCCTGGAAAGAATAAATAATGAAAATAATTAAAGACCAGAGAATCAAACCATACCATGTAGAATATTATAAAGCTTAGAAAAGTAAAAATTAAGAAAAAAATCACAACCTATGCTTCAAAGCCTCCACACTCACCCTTTTTTTCCCTCAAAATGTAATGGCTGAATTATTTCTATTTTTTATTTATTTATTTTTGGTTTTTTTTTTAAAATTATTTTTGATCAGTTCAATCCAACATTTACTTAGTACCTATTGCATATAAGATAAAGTATATAAGACCAACAAGGAACTTAAAAGCATTAATCATAACGAAGGTTAGAGTCAGAATGATACAGATCTAGTGCCATGAGAGTGGAGAGGAGAGAGAAGATGGCACTTGGGGGGTGAGAGGACTCAGGGGCGGTTTCTAGGAAGAGGGGGCATTTGAGCTAAGCTATGCAGAAATGCATGTTATTTCCGCAGTTCAGGACAGGAAGGAGGGTTCCAAGGAGGAAAGTGTGAATTCACACAGAGGAACAGAAGCACAGGCTATTTGGGGAAACCTGTGATTAGATAAATTTTGCCAGAGCATACGGAGTACAAGAGTGGGAGATAAGGGGACCGAATTAGATTCCACTTGGCAAGGACATGGAAGAAAACATTCACACTTGGACTTAATATCATTGGGAATTTTGCTACGTGCAGAACTGAGATCTGGAATGTGCCCACAGAAAGTCCAGAAAAGATTTTTCTTTACCTTTCCTTTGAGCTGACTGTGAATGTACATAAGGATCATTCGTGGAATTTTGACTAACGTGATAATGAAAGAACCTTTTGCCACAGTACCAAGGTGATAACGAATAAGGCGATTTATTGATGCCAGAATCGGTGTAAAAGGCAAATTCCTTTTATCCCTGTTTAAAAAATGACCAAAAAGACAATTAAAGGCTTGACCAGGATAGAAACATAGAAAAGATTTAGTTCAAAAAAGAGTGAAAAATTAGTTCATTTTCCTTATTCTAGTTCTATGACAAAATAAGCAAAGTAACTATAAGTGCTTCAGATGTATCATGTAAAATTAATGTTTCATTTCTTTATGGTAGTTTCAGGGGGTTCTTATGCTCTAATACTTTAAGTTAAATAAAATTGCTTTGAAAGCTCTTACAAGTAAATAGTTATGGCGGTAATTATACAATCAGATAATGAAACGTAGAAAGATGTTAGACCTGGCACCTCGTTTTAATGGAAAACTATCAGGCCTACTGTAGTGTATAGCTAGCTCTGAAATTAGGAAAGAAAGTCACAACACCTTTTCTGATCCATACAAATTAAAGACTTGTTAACCTTTGCTAGATCCTTATATAAGCAAAAATACTGGGTTGACCAAAAAGTTCACTCAGCTTTTTCCATACCAGCTTATATGGAAAAAACTCAAAAGAGCTTCTTGGCCAACCCAATACATAAGACACTAACTACTAAAGATTTATTTTTCTGATAAATGTAATTTAAGTGTAGCATGACCTGCTATTCTAATTAATTTTCTAAGAAAGTTACAGGAAAGAATAAAGAATAAAATAATAATCTCCCATTTTCCTACCTCACAGAATTATCAACTACATATTTTGTCATATTGACTTCCACTTACTTCTTAAAGAAATTAAACTCTTACCAGCCTCAGTTCCATTTCCTTCAGGCATAATCACTTAGATTATCTTAAGTTTTTTTTTCTTGCTTTCTTTTTTCATTGATGCATAATCGACCTACAATACTATGTTAGTTCTGCATATACAACATAGTGATTCAATATTTGTACACATTACAAATGATTACCACAATAAGTCTAGTTGTCATCTGTCACCATACAAAATGATCACAATATTATCACCCTTAGTCCCCACCTTAGACTTTTCATCCCCATCATCATTCATTTTTTTTTTTTGTAACTGGAAGCTTGTACCTTTTAATCTCCTTCACCTATTTCACTCACAGCCTCGACCCCTTCTCTGGCAGTCACCTGATTTTTCTCTGTATCTATGAGGCTTCCCTGATAGCTCAGTTGGTAAAGAATCCGCCTGCGATGCAGGAGACCCTGGTTCGATTCCTGGGTCAGGAAGATCTGCTGGAGAAGGGATAGGGTACCCACTCCAGTATTCTTGCACTTCCTTTGTGGCTTAGCTGGTAAAGAATCCATCTGCAATGCAGGAGACCTGGGTTCAATCCCTGGGTTGGGATGATCCCCTGGAGAAGGGAAAGGCTACCCACTCCAGTATCCTGGCCTGGAGAATTCCATGAACTGTATAGTCCGTGAGGTCGCAGAGTCTGACACAACTGAGCGACTTTCATTTGAGTCTGTTTCACATGAATCTATTTGTTATGCTTATCTGTTTTGTTTTTTAGATTCCACATGTAAGTGAAATCATACAGGTATCTGACAGTCTCTGTTTGACTTATTTCACTTGGCATAATACCCTCTAGGTCCATCCATGTTGTTACAACTTCAGTTTTCTGACAAGTATAAATTCTCACCTAGTAAAATAGTAGGTCACCACAGCTCCTGCCACAGTCATCTGCTGACAGGCTAGAATAAATTCACTGATCCAAATCAGGCCCACCACATGGTACCACCACATGTACTGCAAAGGCCCCGAGACTGTGAACTCCGCCAAGCCTCGCTCATTTTCAACAGCGGTACCTAGGGGAACATCGAAGGAGGAGAGAAGCAGCACACACTGTGTAAGCCGGAAACACGGCCATTAAACCCGGGTGTAAGCCGGAAACACGGCCATTAAACCCGGGTGTAAGCCGGAAACACGGCCATTAAACCCGGGTGTAAGCCGAAAACACGGCCATTAAACCCGGGAGATGAAGCTAACTTCCAATAATACACCCCTGCCCCCAAACCACTGGCATTATGATCACAGTGTTATTTCATTAAGGGACGAAAATAATTATCACTTCAAAAGTTGTATAGCAGAACACTGTAAAATCAAGCATTTTGTTTTCCTCAAAGGCAACATATATAGCTTTTAAAAGTTGCTCTGTTTGAATATAATTCTTACCACATTATCAGTTATTTAGTTTAGGCATGAATTTTCCAATACTTCAGTTTTCTTAAAGAGCTATTACTTGTCCAATAATTACAGAGATAAAATGAGCAAAGTACAGAAATTAATAGTATTTTCAATTGGTGGTGTGTTGAATGACCAGATTAGTTATATATACTTTTATTATCCTTATACCACTCTTCACAATTAATTCCATTTAGACATACATAACTTTTGATATTAAGTATGGCTACAAGTAAGTCCAAGCATATAACTACGAACTCTATCACCACTAGCTCTATATAGGTTCAGGTCATTTCCAAACTAGAAAATCTCAAGGAGGCAGGTTGATCTCTGGCTATCACTGGAGTTTGAGGCACCTCCAGAGAAGCACTGCATTCATTAGTTCATCTCAGAATGAACCTAAATGTCTGAGTCAGTACAGGAGCTTACTTCAAATCCACAACCATCTCAAACCTGGACATGATTTCAGGCCCTACCCGATTTAGACTCACTTTGCTTGGAAGATCATGAATGGGGACTATGTTATTTTTTTAAAAAAACTTTTTATATTTTATAAAAAATGTATTTTTATATTTTTAAAATATAAAACTTTTAAAATATAAAAGTTTTATATTTTATAAAAAACATTTTATATTGGGTTTGGCAGATTAACAATGTTGTGATAGTTCCAGGTAAACAGTGAAAGGACTCATCCATCTGTACACATGTATCCATTCCCCCAAAACTCTCCTCCCCTCCAGGCTGTCACATAACATACCCTGTGCTATACAGTAGGTCCTTGTTGGTTATCCATTTTAAATATAGCAGTGTGCACATGTCCATCCCAAACTCCCAAACCATCCCTTCTCCACATTCTTACCCCTGGCAACCATTAGTTCATTCTCTAAGTCTGCTTCTGCTAAGTAAGTTCATCTGTAAAAAGGTAATGTGTTATTGAAGAGCCATAACCTCTGTTATTTCTGACGGCTATCAGACCTCAGTCCATAAATGTCTTAAGAATTATATCTCTCTGATGTTTTAAAATATTTTAATGCAAATCAGTTTCATTGCTAAAAGAAAGCAGTAACATGTCTTCTTACCAGCTGTGCCAAGAAAGAGAAGTGTCATGATCCAATACACCCAAAATAGAACAAGAGCAAAGAAAGTCCAAAAGGGTTGGAAGACTAGCAGCGGCAAGTGAATGAAGACCTTGCCGGCCACGTGGAACAAGGCAATGGTGAGAGCAACCCGCTTGCGCATCACCAGCATGACCAGGAACAAGATAACCTGCATGGAGCAAATGGACGGGAAGCTTTCAGCTCATGTTTTAAGTGGTAAAAACGGAAACAATGGTGGAAAATTTTTAACACAATTCTTAATTCCACTTATCATTTTTCATTATTTACTGAAAATGTCCTTTAAAGTTAAACATAAAAGAATTTCTAAATTATTAATACATCCTAGAATGCTACTTTTCCTTTTTCCACTCATTACAAATCAAAACATATTGCTTGTCATCAGGATGAGACTCATAAAATTCTGAAAACTGGGGAGAAGACCATATGCTATGATCACAAAAGCACGGGTATTTGTACATCCTCTCCCTTATTGGATCATGAGCACCTTAAGAGCAGGGTTCATGTCAAATTTATTCACTCCCCACTCTGCCCTGGCACTTGGCACAGAGAAATATACTTAAAAGATGATTAATAAGTATTTGCACAATGATAGCAAACAAAAATCTCTTGGTACCAATGGTTTTATAGTGGCTTTATTTTTAGTTTCCAATGCTCAATGAAAAGCTTGGGATTGCTCCAAAAAGTAAACTCAGATTTTTTTGCCCCCTTTTTACAGATAGGAGAGGGAGATAAACCAAAAATATAAATACAGATTATTGAACCACAAGTTTATTAATAATTTTACTGTAATCAGTATAATAATTATACTAGTGAAGCTCACCTCTATTTTTGGAATAATGTTGTTAAAAGTTTAAAAGGAAAAAAATGGGAAAATAATTAGTGAAAACAGAATGACATGAGATGGCTTATTTCTTAATATACTTTTCTATAGTAAAGAGAACTGTTTTTTAAAAATAATTAATTATTTCATGACAGTAAGATATATGTCCTTACTAGAAAATGGTAATTAATATTCTAGCTGAAAATTCCCTCTCAAAGAGCAGACAGTACAGAACAAAATGCTGCATCAAATAGCACCCATCAATTAGGGAAGCCTCTGAAGACTTCTGAGGAGGTCATGCCCTATGGGACAGTGATTTAACCTAACAGTGATCAAGGGTAGGCTTGCAATAGCTAGGGGTAAGTTTTTGCTTTATTAATGGTCTATAAATAAAACATAAACCTGACAGATACACCGAGACCTGTACTCACCGTGAACACCGTTGCTGAAATGGCGTAGATGAGGAGTGCCCGAAGGTTGGCCTCCGCTATCTGAGGCTGCTCAGAAGTAATCGTTTCTTTGGGAGACTTTCTTTGCTTTGCATACAGCCACCAGAGTAAACCTGTGCCACCTGGAGACAGGAAACAATTTTGCAATAAGTAGTGAAAGAAATGTGTAACATAAATCCTCAATTTCCTAGACCCTTCCTATACATCACCACGGACTATTATAGCAACAATCCATTTGGCTGGGAGGTGTGTGGCTGTCATTTTTTGCCAGCAAAGGAGAACTCCAATGACTCCACTATCATCTTCCACATTACACACTTACAAATCTTTAACTGAATCAAATGAACCTCCTTTAACTCTATTATCAATTCTGAAGCTGAGAGAGAGCCCAGCAAGGACCGATACCCCTGAGAGGCACTGGTCACCAAAGACAGCCTCAACACCTGTTTAAGCTACGGAGTGTGCGGAAAGCAAGTAAATGGCATAGAAATCAGCAATGAAGGGACTTCCCCAGTGATCCAGTGGTTAAGACTCCATACTTCTAAGGCAGGGAGTATGGGTTAGACCCCTGGTTGGGCAACTAAGATCCCACATGTCATGCAATTTTGTGACCAAAAAAAACAAACAAACTAAAGTTAAAAAAAAAAACAAAACCAGCAATGAAGCTGAGGAAGGCAAAGATCTTCTCTGTTGTACAATAACCCCAGTGCCTAGTGATGACACATTCACACAGTTGATAAAATATTCATACTATGAATAAATGAAGATCAAATGAGTAGTTCCTACCATAGGTAGGAAATTAGAAAGCTAGAAAAGTTTATGCTAAATTTAAGGGGAGAAGGACTCAACAAATACTGCTTCCTTTCAGCCTTTAAAAATCATAGAATTCTAAAAAAAAAAAATCATAGAATTCTAGATTGAAGAATATTTTCTGAAAATGTATAGGTTACGAACTGCAGAAGTAAAAATAAAAGGGATACTATCCAAAGCAAGGGTGAAAATAACCAGAGAAAACATAATTCATACAGCAAAGAAAGATAGGGAAAACAAAATAAGGAAGCATAAATTTGAGGAAAATATAAAACAGACGACATCAGGGGTGACAAAGAATAAGTAGCTTACCAAGTGAACCCAGGATGAGCAGAAATGTTAAGATCCACACAAGTACTCTTGATATATACCTGATTATCACCATCAAACTCATGGACAGAACTGTAGGGAAGATAAAGGACACACAGAATATCATTTGAAAACATTAGAAAATATAAAGAGAAACTCTTTCAATTGTTTTCTCCTAGGGAAAATAATTTGTTGCCATTGACAAGTTCATGACCCCAATTTTGGTAAGAATGGAAACAGGCTGCTTTTGTACCTTGACCTGAGTACTTGTGTCACTTGAAAAGCACCACTTAAAACCAAAAGCACCTGACTGTGGGTTTATAAACGACAGAACAGAATACATGCAAATGCATATGGTGACTCAAAGACAGCACAGGAGTGTTGTGGATTCACCACGGGAAGACATCAGAACTCGCATGCAAACAGGTGACAGCACACAAAGTGTAGAGAATGACATGCCATGTTCGTGACCAGAAAATTACCAAACATAGACAGAGATCAGTTAAATTAAATGCTACACTTCCTTGTGTCATCTATGTATTTCAGGACCAACTTCTCTGATGTTTGTTTTGGCCGACAAGTCAGATGGTATATTATCTTTTTCTAGTTTTTTCTCCTCTAAAACTCCAAGATATGGTCTGACTCTATAGAATAATATCCTGAAAACTACTGAAGTCAAAATTCCTGGCCTTACTTCTCAACTGGGGTCAGGAGTCTTGATTTAGAAGCTCTTCAAAAACGAGCAAAGCTTAGTTGAGTTATTTAGCCAACTCCTATACCCACCCCAATGTGACAAAATCTTGAGTGAAAAAAATCTCAAAACAAAAAACTGAGAGGATTTAACCCTTGCAGAGGGAAATTAATTTCTGAAATCATAATTTGTTTATCTCTAATTATTTAAAGTCTTGTTTCACAAACAAATGAATAAAGATCTTAAACCTCAAAAAGAAAACTATTCTAATAAAAAATGGAATTCCAATGACTTAACAACATTATTAGCACTACATTTTTAGGTTTGAATTTTTTTTTTCTTGGTTCAAGTATTCAACTATTTCAGAAATCAAATAATTTTTACATAAGGCTAGACTAATAGTCAAGTTTTCTTGGGACAATTGCAAAGCCAACTAAATGGTTGGGATCTGTGACTAGGTAATGTTATTGAGGTACTCACATTTGCAATAAATGTACAGGAACCAAAAACAGATGGGAGCGTTTCAAATATCACAGAAATAGCTTTTCATATGGACAGCATTATTTCAACTGAGTCAAGTACTACCTAAGCAAAAAGAAAATACTCTCTAATGACAAGACAGAAATACAGCTAGTCTTCTCAATGACTATAATTGGTGTTAACAGGCATAAACACTCATTTTACATATATAACGAAATAGTTCTTTGGTTCCTACTACAGTTTACTTCTCCCAACTAAAAAAGTCTATGAATTCTGATATGGCTACATACAGTTCTAGGGTAATATAGGGAACTTGCAACTTGAAAATCACATTTATTTATTTATTTATTTTATTACCTATTTATTGACCAAAAAACTCAATGGCTAACAAGTGGAGATTTCCTAATTTTTCCAGCAATACAGTAACATTAATTGTAGCAATGAAAAAAATTATATAATCCAAATGTAACCTATCAGAAACTTATGTTTTTTGATGGAAATATATGAGAATATATAACCTCTTTTTATAAGCAAGTAAGCCTTTTGGAATCATAACTAAAAACAAAGGGGTGCTGACTCATTGAAAGAAGCCTCCTATTATCATACTAAATGTTATTATAGACTTAGTAACCAAAGTTTGGGAATATACCAGTTTTCTCCAATGAGAGAAAAAGAAGGGAAATGAGTTTCAGATATATATATATATATATATATATATATATATATACACCTTAAAAAATATGTGTATACTTATAACTATATATAATCTGAAACAATTATTTTGGCTATGGGAAGTTAAACAATTTACAAGTATCCCCGGCAGTATTCATATTTTGGTTAAAAGAACAGTCTTCTACTGCAATACTATGTAATAGCTAATAATGAGAAAAACAATTACCTAGTGATAACAAGCAAAGTCCCAATATAATTTCTTTGCTGGTCATTACTCCACTAATCAGCCTGTGTAAGACACTATTGTCACTGACAAAGGTGATCAGGGCCTCTGCAAACTTGGCATAGCAGGAAATGTTCACAGGAGCACAGCGATGGAAGAATGGAATAGGTGCACTGGTGACACAAGAAAAAAAAAATCAGAAAGAAAATTACTCCTGCTTAATATAAATGCCACATCAAACACACAAATGAAAGGTGAATATGGCTGCAATACACTCCACCCTCCACACATCATATGGGAGCTAAGAGCTGTGAGCTTAATGCTATGAAGATGACTGTCATGGGGCGTGATGCAAACCTTACCACAAGCTTATCAAAGAGGGTGGAGTGCATATTCCAACAGAAGACATTACCCTCCCCTTCTGAAAAGAAACACACACACACATATACACACATACACAACTACCAAAAACAAAACCAAACACTTAAACTCCTCAGCCTACACATCTATCAATCAAGAGGCAGATGACAAAACTTACAAACATATACTTTATTGAACTGAAAATTATTTTTTGCCATAAGCTATTTAAAAATAAAAAAAAACATATACTTTTGCTTGAAATGTGCCACCATTAATAGAATATTTGCTCTATCAGAACAACATACAAAACCTTAGATTAAAAAAGGTATTTGAGGCACCAGCTTAATATCTCATACAAAGTAGTCATACCAAGACATCAACATACAGCAGAATATGCTGTTTGAAACAATAACTATGAATGCTAGCATATGGAAGAACTTATAACAATACAAGGGAAAGAAATGAAAAGCTTATATCTAATGTGATGATTACATCTATGTACTAAAGATCTAAGAATGAGAACAGGGGGAAAACTCTAAAGAAAAATCTCTGCTTTGTTATAGCCATGGGATTAAGAACTATTTTCTTTTCCTTTTATATGTTATCATTATTAGGAGATTACTTGTGTCCAAAAAAGAATCAATTATATCAGGTTTATACTGACTGTAGCTCTTACTTGTGAAGGAATACAGCTATGTATAAAGCGTGGTAGAAGTATAGTTTGTTATAACATGGTTCTATTTTAGCTTCTGAGAGCATGTGTGCATCTAATCAATGAGAGATTTTAAGGAAAGCTCTATGAACATGCCCTCAGTTGTGATTTGTTTGAATTCTAAAAGAGCCCAGATGTGTCCCTATGCACAACACATATTTACATGTGCATTAAGTTAAAATTTAGTCATTACTAACATGAATCCCACATTTTCAGAATTATGTATAGGACTATCAGTCATAGTTCTAATATACTTTTTTTGACTGGACTGATGTAAGTGTGTTCTCATTACTGATTGGTACTGTATTTTGGTCAAATTAGTGAACAGATTACATGGTTGAGCACCAAACCCCAAAGTCGCTAATCTCAGCAGAGCAACGTTGTATGATCTGAAGCAAAATACTATTTTTGTTTCCTTCCTCAAAAAAACAATAAGAATGTTTCTTTTCAAGTAAGAATATAAGTGAACTATATATTGATTTTCCTTAAATGTGGTACATTAGCACCACTGGGAATAAGAAGAAACAACATCTTCCATGCTGTTAAACTTTACGGAGCAATAAAATAATGTAATTTAAAAGATCTAGCCTTATCTTACTTATATTTAGAGTAAAATATATCCAAAAATGACAACGATAGGCATGCTTATTTTTAAAAAACTGCCTCCACATACAAATGTGGGTGTATTTGTATATACCTCCAAAATGGTGTTGGTGAAAGGTAATGCCAAAGATTTGATATTTTGACACAAACTGCAGAAAGCCAGAGCATTCTGAGTAATGCTTGAATTACAGGTACGTAAGTCACCATTTTTTGACCAAAAGTTGTTTCATTAATGATTTGAAAATATATTAAACTATAGACTGCTTTTAGATAAAATAGATTTAGTTAGAAATATTATAAGAATCAAAAAACATTAACAAGTTCTTACTCAGTGGAGACTAACCTGGGACAGAAACCTTTAAACTAACAACTGTGTCGTGACCTACAACTGCTTTTTTCCTGATAATGTCCTTGCCAGGTTAATGCTCCTGTCTAAGGACTTCTAACCATATTTTAAGCCTGGTTCTCTATCCTTCAAAACAAAAGTCCTCTCTGGTCTATGAATGTCTACATCTTCATCTGCTTTATTTATTATCCTAAAATCTCTGATGTCAACTCTGTTTAACTCACCTGCCTCCAACCTTGAATATAAAATACACCCACCTAGGAACACTGATGTTCTGTTTGTAATATCCACCAATTGTCTTGGTCACACACCCATAAACCTCACACTCTGTCAAGAAGTGGCTCCTCCTAAATCTCCCATATCCTAACAGGATGTTGATATACTTTTAAACTCAGAGAGAGATACACATCATCTCCAAAAGGGAGTGGAACTTGTGACAAAGAAAACTGGACTTGGGTTCAGAAGCCCTGGGTGATTCTCCTAACATTACACGGCTGCAGGTCACTGTGTCTTTCTGCTTCTCTGCCCCTCCACCTGTCAGCCGAAAGGGTAGGAGAAAGTTCTCTGTAAGTCTTTTCACATCATCATCATCATCATGCTACTCATAAATCAATGATTCTAAATTAATATAAGCAGGACGCCCAGTAGCTTTAGCTTTTTTCTGCTTTTCAAACTTATAATGAGGATAGCTGATTTGAAAAGGGAAGAGTTATAGTCTTAAAATTCTAAGCCTTCATTTTTTTTTTTTAAGCCTTCATTTTTATTTAAGGGGAAAAGCTGAGTGATATCAGCTCTGAACTTATCCTTTCAAGTCATTTGTATACTGTATATAAATACTTGGTCAATTAGAAAGAATACTTTTATAAGTATCTTTCAAAGAAGTGGAATAAACTAACAATAGTTTGTTGCCTTATAATTCAATCTACATCAGTTAAAAAAAATCTGACAGCTCTAAATTTAAAGGTATAAAAATAGCACAAGATGATTAACTACTCTATCTGATGGTCAAAATGGTCAAAATCTGTTCTTGTGGTAAGGAATAACAGGTAAATCTAGTGTTACAGAATAAAAGAAATAGGCAAACAAAAGAGAAGATAACATTTGGACACAACAGCAAAAATGAAATTAAATACTTAGCTTCAAAGTAAAAAGTATTAGATTCCTCTGTCACTCTTTTTTCTCAATTCAACTCTTTCCCAAACAAAAACAACTTGACCAGTCACAAGTTTTTAATACTTGAATTGCTTTACTATTTAAAAATTCTAAGTAATCATGGCATTGAAATGGTTTGTCTTATATTTTACCACTTAAATCCCATGTGATATAATGAATTTAAGATGAGCTATCTGATTTTGTATATCTCTCAGAAAAACTACACTTCTGAGAACCTAGTACATGAGATCATTTCTACTTTAGTGTCTAACCCAAATGATACACTCTGTGCTTCTTAATTAAGAGGAAAGGCATAAAGAATTCTGTTTATAGAAAGTTTTCTACCTTTTAAAGCCCACAGAGCATTGACTCTTTAAGAAGTCAATGTCATCCCATTACGAACTAACTGATGCTGTTCCACATTAGTGAAACATTAGTCAACAAGAACAAATGAATTTATAATGAGTCTTTTAAAGATTTTTTAAATTAGTCACTCATAGGAAAACTGTATCTTACCTTGGCAAATATATTGCCATTTATCTGCCTTTAAGTACAGATTATCACAGTTAATGAGCTCCCTCAAAGTATGATGACAAACAATGCCTAATATCTTTTGTCCATATGCCTTCCTCCATAAGACAGAAGTCTGCACCTCACACAACTATTTTAAACCCCCAGGTTATAAATAAGCCATTACACTTGATTTCTAATTAAATTTTGTTTAAGAAAGAAAACAATTTTAAAAAAAGGGTTCTGGCAATATCTCTATAGCACAGCAAAGGCAGGAAATAAGTAATCAAGAATCTAATGGCACTATGCAGTGATGTTCACACATTTCATTTTATTTCTTTTCTCTCCTCTTTCATTTCTATACTCCCTTTTAACCCCTTCAAACTAACTGTGGTATAGACTTTACAAGATCTTAAATTCAAATTCTGATTCTCAACAGTTAGTTGTGTGACTTTGAGCAATCTATCTAACCTTTCTCTTATAAGGGACAATATCCTTACAGGCTTTTCAGAGGGTTCAATGAGATAACACAAGAAACTTAAAACAGTGCTTGACACCCAATAGATAATTTATAAATGCTAATTCACCTTGATCCTTCACTTAAAAAATATAGACAGTATTTTTTTCATGACTATTAGTTTCTTATTTCTGTATCACGTTAATTCTCCAATACCTAGTGTTCTTTCTGGCATCTGAAAGTATCAAAATAAATGTCTGTTTGATGAATAAACTGAAGTTATGAAATCTGTTTCTAGTACTGCAAGTTTTCTCTAGCCATATGCAGAACTTTAAGCATTATAAATATATAGGCTGGCTAGAATTCCCCATGGCTACCATGTTTAGCACATCACCAACAAAGTTCTGAATTTGGATACAATATGGCCCTTACTAGGCACTGGTTTGCAAAATTCAAAAGCTCTTAGGAAGAGTAACCATTTGGGAATTGTGTGGCACTAGTGTTTTACTGCAAATTAGTTTACCACTGTTTTTCTTTAAAATAGACACTACCTTTAGCTGCAGAAAGTTCCTGAGTACCCAGGAAGGATGAGGAGGTGGGAAGGTTCTAAACGTTGATATAGATAATACTCTGAGCCAAACACCAAGCACAATAATGTATGTTTAACACATAATATCTTATTTAATTCTTATAGCAATCCCATGCAAGAGGTATTGATATTCCCACTTTATATATGAGGAAACTTGGTTTACTAAGAGCTTAACAGACTTTCTTATGCTAAGGGCCATTTGCCTGCATCACAGGTTTGCCCAGGGTTAGTCAAAAGTGTTAGTACATATAAAAGAGTCAATCAAAGTATAGTCTCTACTCTTTTTAAGGACAGAGAACAGACCTTACTTGTCATTGGAGATCTGGTATCTAATCTATGTGTGAAACAGGGTAGTGGCCTAAATTTTTTATTAAAACAAATTTATTGTTTTCTGATCCTTTCATTTTGCTTGCCAGATACTAGATTTACTATGTACAAGGTCTTGATTTGCCTTCCTTCTGTCAACTGTCTCTTCTTATTTACTTTCCAAAAAGGAGAGTTCAGACAAAAGTGATAGACTGTGATAAACTTTACTAAGTAAAGTGATAAACTTTACTAAGATAAGTAAAATATGAGGATCTTTAAATAAAGTATAAACATTTATATAAACAGTTTTTAGACAGTATAGATTCATCATTGCCTCTTGGATTACTAAGACATTAGTGGATGAACCATGTTACCAAGCCTGTCTATCTCTAACATTCAAGCCCCTAATTCTATGTTTTCTGTCCTAGTGAATGTCCTTAGGATGCTGTACATGAGACATCCATTGAGTATACAGCCAAGACTGGATCACCCAGCATAACCAGGAACAGGCAGTCCTCAACATGGCAGAGTCAGAGGTCAGAGGTGCAGGAGGATATGCAGTATGAACTGCCCTCTAACCTAAACCCACTTATATTATACTAGAGCAGGCAACTTCATTCTCATACCACAGCTTTCTCATACCTATTATAATATATTTATGCCTTAAAATAGTGACTCTATACTCAAATATGCGTTTAAAATAGGTGTTAGCAGTTGAATAGATAAGAGAACAGAGCTTTTCTTGTTTTTACATTGATAATTTTCTCTATTCAAAGAATTTCTTTTCTTTACTGTCACAGCCTCCCTAATGTTCTCAATTTTCATGAATGGAGTCTCCCTACCGATTGGTCTAAGCGGATAATTTGTAGGTCCTTTCTATTTAGTATCTTTTAAAACAGTCCCATTGTTTTTATGTCTGTAGGCTTTAAATTTTAATTTCAACAGCAACTTGACAAAACTAAAAGAGCAGGAAATCAATTAAACTGATATGTCCTTGTCAACTTTTCAACAGAAAATTTCAAATTCAAGTTAATGAAGCATAAGTAATACCCATAAGTCAGTTGAAGGAAAGGAAACATAAGAATTTTAACCAATAGCTTGATATAATATACTACGATACAGTAAAAAGTGGTTTTGATTCAGTATCCCTGGAAAATACTCATGTTATACATGGTTAGTGATATATGCTAAGGTTCTTAAGATCAGACATGCTCCAAATACTATATACCTAATTCTGAGTATATATTCTACAGTGCTTGAGAATCTATTTCCTTTTTAAAAAGATCAATTTATAATTGTAAAATCTGCCTTACTTAAAACTACTATGAGATCTGTCCAAAAAAAAAAAAGAAAAGATAAAAGAAATATCTAAGGAATTCCCTGGCAGCCCATTGGTTAGGAATCCATGCTCTCACTGCTAAGCGCCTGGGTTTGATCCCTGATCAGGGAACTAAAACCCCAGAAGCCCAAACCTGTGTGACATGGCCCAAAATTTTAAAATTCTTTCAAATAAACAATATTTCTTGTTTCATCTTTGTATCCATTACATATAGTAGGTACTTAACAATAAATGTTGATTAAGACAAACAGTTTATTACAGAAAAAGTACCTAAAGGATATAGCCAGAAATAAAGTATGGAGACTATTCCCTGGCATATTTTTAAATTCATAAAGGTAATTTAAAAATAATACCAGTTAGGATGATCAAAGAAACTTCAAAGAATCTTTTGAGACTGTGAGACCTGACTTCCAAATTTTGCTATAAGTTCTATAATATCAATAGCTTTCTATACTTGAAAACTATGACGTCAAAAAAAAAAAGTGAGGGACTTCCCTGGAGGTCCAGTGGTTAAGCCTCTGCCCTTCCACTGCAGGGTGCACTGGTTCAATCCCTGGTAGGGGAACTAAGATCCCACATGCCACTAAACGTGGCCAAGAAATAAAATAAATTAATTAATTAAAAAAAATTTTAACAGTGAGCCCCACAAAGAAATTTAAAGTGTTTGAGAATGAGAAATGTTGTTTGCCTGTGTGTATCTCTGTGTGTGTGTGTGTACTTTAAAATAATGTGAAATTCATGTTGTCATTTCTATTACTACTTTAAAAATTGTAAAAGTACTGAAACTGTGCAACGGGCATCATCAAGTCACTCTTCTCATAACATATACAGTTTAAAATCTACCTACAAAAGCAAAAGTCACAAGTTAATGAAATACAATAAAATTTACCTCGCTGGAACAGGTAGTCTGGGGCAAAGACCTATTACTGCTGGTGATGCATATTCAGAAGGCTTTAGGTTATAGGTGCATAGTGCTGAGCCTGTTGAAAGAAAAGCTATATGTTAGCTAGCAGAACAGAGTCTGAATAAATTCTTTATTAATTCATTTTAATTTTATTTTATAGGTTAATATTAATTCAACATATACAACTTTCAAATGTTATAGAATTAATAAAAGTTTGATTTGGTCTAATAGTATCGATCCTCAATCATCTGAAACAGACTCTTCTCTGGAAACTTATATACAAAGTTTAATTAACAGTATTAGGGTAATAACAATAAATACTAGAGCTATCTTCATTGAGTGTCATATGTCAGGCCCTATATAACGTACATACACACACACACACATATATTTTTATAAAGAGTCAACTTTTCATTGTAACTGACCCAACTTTATCTAGGAATGTCTTCACACAATGGAAAAAACTAACATGATAAAAATTCTCCTGAAGAAACCAAGAGTTTTTGCCAGGCCCAGCGCTTCTGAGGGTCAGGCTGAAACCAGCCCATTCGTGAGGCTGGTTCTGTTCCCCATGCAGGTTTCTCATCTCAAGAGAATGGTTGGGATGGGCAAAGGACCCGTTTCCTCCTCCCATCATGCTGTGAACTCACTGGTGAGGTGAACTTCTTCTCTCTCATATATAAAAATTCTATAATTTACTTTAATTTTACTAGGCAGGCATTATTAAGCCCACTTAACAGAGGAGAAAATAGAGGCTAAGAGATAATGTAAATAACTGACAGCTAATAATCAGTAAAGCTGGGATTAAACTCTAGATCTGTTTGGCTACAAAACTCTTCAACTACATATGCCATCCCTCCTTCCTATGCTTTCCATTACGAAATATTTAAGATTGCTGCATAAAGCACATAGCATTCAGATAATACATTACTTTTTTCTTATGTAAGAGTCATGAGACAATAACTATAAATAAACTGAACTAACTGATCAATCAATTGATCAAAGGAGTCTCAGTTTACAGATAGTTTAAAACAGCTTAAATTCAGTCTTAGATTGGTTATTTTCTGACTACATGGCCAATATATACATACATACATATATGGGCTTCCCTGGTAGCTCAGCTAAAGAATCTGCCTGCATTGCAGGAGACCCCAGTTTGATTCCTGGGTTGGGAAGATCTGTTGGAGAAGGGATATGCTACCCACTCCAGTATTCTTGGGCTTCCCTTGTGGCTCAGCTGGTATCTGCTTAGAATTTGCCTGCAATGCAGGACATCTGGGTTCAATCCCTGGGCTGGGAAGATCTCCTGGAGAAGGGAATGGCTACCCACTCCATTATTTTGGTCTGGAGAATAGTCCATGGGGTCACAAAGAGTTGGACCCCACAACTGAGCAACTTTCACGTTCATATAATTTAGATGGATACAGCACACCAAATCCTTGATTAAAGTCTTATTCAAACAACATGCTAATTTTACAATATGGCAACTATTATACTATAAGGTTCATTGTACAAAGACATTGTTAGCTAGGGACATTGAGGCTTTAGTTCTAATTTTGCTCAGACCAGCTATGTTATATCATGTAAACTGTTTGTATTTCATTATTGAAGTTCTTACTAGGTTACTAATTTGGGAAAATACTTTATTATTAAACACCAATAGAACGGCTTTGCATTTATATTAGGGCAATATATTATAGCAATAATGAGATTTTGCACTGTATCATCATGCAATATGTTTAAAATATAATGTGAAGGCAGATTTTAACACTGAATTAATTGTGAAAACATCATGTGAAGACATGAGAAGGAACTAGAATGGAATACAGAAAAAAAGATTTGTTGGGACAACAAAATAGAGAGGTTTATTTCGTTTACATATTGTACTTTCAATCAGAAGAATTTGAGAAAGCCACAAACCTGCACTACTTCAGTAATGCTGCCCCCAAACCAACTTGTTAAGTGTTTGAATATGTGGGTTTAGTAGCATATTTACATAAATACACGTAGCATCTATTTTATATAAAAATATCTCAGGTAATTGGGCAGTGTAATATATTTTTAAAGAGATACTTGAAAGTTGCATGGCATTGTTCTTCAAGTTTCTACAGCTCTTAAGATATACTCAATAGGAAACTAAGTTTCTAAAATTGTTTTCTGTCATTCTCTTCCATTTTAATGACTTAGTTAAGCATGAATATTAAGCATCTAACTTCTAAAATTAGGCTTTCATGTTTAAAGGTAACACCACTAGATACTATTTATAGCAATTTTAGAGAAAATATGACAGCCATGGCAAGCAAACACTTAAATTGTAAAATAGCTGGAGTCCTATTATAGAATTGCTCAAGAAAAAATAGCCACTGTGCCAGTAACTGCAGGGCAAGCACCCAACGTGATCATCAACCTCCTGATCTGAATTGTCAACTTACTTCTTTCAGAGTCCAAGATGGAATTGATTTGCACAACATGAAAGGCCCTAACTAAAGCATATTGTGTCAGTGCTGTCAAACACACTGCTCCATTTGAATTCAGTGAACATAATCTTCATCCCCACCCTTTTTTCACTTTAAAAAAGGAGGTCAGCAGGTGCAACAGAGTTCAATTTTATAAAGACTTTCCCAGGATAATGCTCAATGAAAGGATAATAGCCTTATCTCCGAGGTATTCTGGGACAGAGGCCAGTACTAAATAGATCCTGTACTAAATAGATTAAAGGAAAAAGATCTTTACAATGTGCTGGTAGTAACAATCAGAAGAAACCTAATATTGCTTCCTACTCAAAGAACTGATGGATAGAGAAGCCTCAATGAAGAACATTAAAACAACCCAGAAATGGCCAATGTTTTACAATTGCTTCTCTTTTCATGTGTATTGCTAATGTATTTTTAGTGAACTCTTAAGGTAGTATCTATTTTACTTTTTTTAGTAGTAGAACTATAAACAATAGTAGAAGTATGACATAAGATGTTTGGTTATAAACAGCAAGACAATATTTTTCTTCTAATGCAAAAAACAGGGGAAAACCATGCTAGAGTAATGAAAAATCTAAAGCAAAGAACAAAAGGTTATCAAAACCACATTAGAGGCAATCCATGCAACTCAGTCAATGTTATTCAAAGGCCATCAGAATGAATGATCTTAGGAACCTAACTTGGGTATATAAGCATTTATCTTGGTAAACAGTTGCTATAGTTCCCAGAATGTTTAACTACTACAATATTTCAAATGCCTTATAATAGTTAATTATTTATTTTTAGCTCAATATCACTTATAACAACTCCACTGAGGTATGTTTCCATCACCATGCTCCAAACATTACAGATGAAAAAAAGTAAGTCATATTTCTAGGGCCTTTTAGGAGATCAGTGACAAACTAACAAATAGAATTCTTTTCCTGTAGCCTACAATGCTTCTTCTGTGTTTTTCCTAATAATCATAATCAGAAAAGTATTCAACATGCTCCTGAGAAAAAATGTATATTCCACAGACACTGCAAAGATAATACGTTTGAAAAACATTTTTTTCCATTACCCAGTCTCTAAATCTGCTCTGTCTCCTCCTGTTTTAAATCTACCCTAGGTAATGGCTCCACTGTTCATAAAATCCCCAAGATGAAGTATGGAAGTCATTCTGTATCTTCTTTATCTACATCTTCCATTTATGTCTTCTCATACTATTCAAGACATTCAAGATACCAACTCCTGACAATCAGACCTTTCTATGTTATTGTTTAAAAATAACTTGTATTTAGCTATTTATTTTTGACTGCACTAGGTCTTCACTGCCGCACACAGGCTCTCTGTTCGCTGCGCTCTGCGGGCTTCTCATGGCTGTGGCTTCCCTTGTTGCAGACCACGGGCTCTCGGGCACTCAGGCTCCAGCGGTTGCTGGGCACAGGCTCGGTACCTGTGCCCACAGGCAGGATCTTCTCAGCTCAAACCTGTGTCCCTTGCGTTGGCAGGCGGATTCTTCACCACTGAGCCACCAGGCAAGTCCGCGATCTATGTTATTTCAGACCACCATGATGTCTTATTGGGTCAGTTAAGCTACTCTCTCAGAGGGTTTCTTACCTCCATCCTGCACACAACCTTCAGAATGATTTCTGTAAATTTAGGATTAGTTTATTACACCTCTGCCCTCAGGACAAATTCCAGACTCCTTGGCTTCAAGGCCCTCCTAAGGCAGGCCTCTACCTAAAACCCCAGGCTCATTAACAAACTACTTATAATTCTTGTGGTTTCTCAAGCTTCCAGGCTTTTTCACAAGCTATTCCCTCTGCTTGAGCTGTCCTTTCTTAACTAGCATCTGAAAGAGTGTTCAACTTTGAGGAGAATGTCTACAAATTACAAGCTTTACCCCCTCTGTCAATACACTCAAGCAAAGCTATTTACTTCTTAGCTGTATTATAAAACACATATTTATTTTATAATTTTTTAGTTTACATATCATTTCTATCTTTAGAACATGAGCTCTTTGGCTCTTTGAGAACTGGAACCTTATGCCTTCAAAATATCTGGAATTTCTATTTCCTGGCACACAGCGCTCAAGAGCCATCTGCTGAATAAAACAGACATCCTGATTAGCAACAACAACAACAAAGAATTATTTTAATCTCTTATACTTTGGTGTTACATGTTATATATAATGATATACGCTTTTCACCATTCACTACAAAGTATACTATCTAAAACAGGATTTCTAAACCTTGGTATTAACACAATTCTCAGGCAGTTCTCGGTTATAGGCAGCTGTCTTGCGCATTTGCAGGATGTTTATCAGCAGCCCTGGTCTCTGTCCACTAGATGCCGGCAGCCTCCTTGTAACCTCTCACCAACTGTGAAAACCAAACACGTCTCCTGACACTACTAAACATCCTGGATGGGGAGGCGGAGGAGGTGGCTGTGGCAGGTGCAAAAATCACCCTTAGTTAAGAAATGCTAGTCCACAACATCAAATTATTTAAAATAAAGAGTTGGCATTGGAGGCTAATTCTTATTTTAAAATTTTGTTTGATTTACTATCTCAATAACATTTGCAGGATACACCAAGAGGAAAAAAAATAGTCCTTAAAAC